GGGGGGGTGAAAGTACCTATACAATTTACTGGAGTGGAAATAAACACTAATGCCAGTAAAACACCAAATACTTTTTTGTTGTTTGTTTTCACAAAAATTAATAATTCAATAATTTTGATTAATAATGATTGTTTTTGAGTGGTTCCTTGCATATTACTGTCTATAGTGCATGATTTGTGTACTAATACATTTTGACGTCCGCATCACATAACCAGCTCCATATGTATGGCTTTTCTGATACAGTAAACTCGCTCGGTAGCGCACCTGGTACAGCATTGCACTTGTAATGTGTACGAGGTAGTACGAGTCATGACTAAAGAGCTCAAAGACTTGAAGAAGCAAGCTAAAATTACACGGTTGCTTCAGCAAATGTCTTTTTATTTCTTGTTTGCTTTTGTTAACACTATTGGTTAGGGTTTAGTGTATTTGGTACGGTATTTTCAAACACAACAGAGCATTAACCTTTTATTCCCACTCACCAGGCATTTCATTTCCAAATTGAAGCAATACGTACCAAAACCAATAATAAACCATTGCCAGAATCATGTTCATCTGTTTTGGATAAAACTGAATGTGCTTCTAGAGCCACTCACTGGATTTTAAACTGCAAAAGGTACCATGGTGGATGTCCTCAACACACTGAGACACAAATGTGGAAAGCAATAAAAATTGAAGTGGCTTTATTGATCAGGAAACAAGCACAGCATTAGCATATCTGGACCTTACAGCAGTCTACAAAGGGAGGTGACCCTTACATCAAAGCAGTGATGAGATGACGTAGAGCTCTGCTAATTCCAGAGGTGATCAAATCACGATGGTTTATCAAAGTCATGTGACACAGCAAAAGCATCATTGAATGTCTCTGTGAAGTGCTACTCTTTTTCATAGTTCATTTCTTTTCATCTGAAGGTTACATTTGTCATTCAAATGGTCTCTCCCTGATACCAAATCCCCTCCCCGCCCAACCGTAGCTAAAATCTCATACACAAATGTATTGTACATGTAGGCTACACACTCACACACACTTAACAATCACACTTCTGTCACAACATTATTCAAACCCCAGTAGGCCTTTTTGATATACAGTACCAGCGCTGTTTTTGGGGAGCATATGGTGGATGTTTTTCTGCTCAGGTACATTGAGATTCAAATTCACTTTGTTTTTTTGTTAAAAGGTTGCAAGACTAAATGTAAACTGACACCTTTCAGAGAAATCACACTGTTTTTTTTTTTACCGCTACTTCTGTTCCCACTGAATATGACAGCACATTTTTGAAAATCACTTCAAAGCAAGAATCGCATTGTTAGTGTCTGGTGACAGGATCATTTTTCTTACCATTTAAATTTGCTCTTGTTCTTACTCAACAATGACAAACCTGCCTTTTGACTTAATAGCCCCCTTAAAATATATATTTTTTCTCCCTCAAAAAGGCAGCATACTTCAAAAATATACTGTTCATATATCTATATATTCCAGATGTTTGAACAAAAGTACAATTCTAGGAACATTCACACCAAAAAGGAAGAGATTACTTTTTGAGCATCTGGCAAAATAGAGCTGATTATTACATCACTGGATCCTTAATCTCATAAATCTTTTAGTACTATAAAGTATTGAATCATCTTTTAATGAAAAAAAGTTTGCCTGTTGATGGTTGAATGTTTTCACAGACAGATCCCCACTGATACGACATAACTTTAATGTGTTTCCATTTCCCATTAGTGCCATATTTACACAAAGAATGTTCATATTTATCATTTGCTTTGCAATGGTATGTATGTAACAAGCCTAGGACACAATATATAAATCTTTTTAGTTTTGAACTTTACATTTATATATATATATATATATACAGTGGGTACGGAAAGTATTCAGACCCCCTTAAATTTTTCACTCTTTGTTATATTGCAGCCATTTGCTAAAATCATTTAAACTGTATATATATATATATATCGATGTCTGTTTTGTTCATAACTTCAGTATTTGGAATGTTGATAAAAGAGTCATATGTGTCTAGTGCATTTACTGAACCTGTGAATTGGGTGAGTACATTTTTAGAAACATTTTAGACCTTCTCCACACAGCGACTAGAAAATAACGAGGAGGAAAAACAAAGAGTAAGGCCACATCATAAATTGCACACAATGATTCACATGACAATGAACGCCCCAAAATGCTAGCCGTCCTCGGCAGGGTTTTTCTCGTGTAGAACTGGAGACCGGAGACCGATTATGGCGTGACTAATAATGGTTAGTGGTATGAGCACCTCCAGGTCTTCCTCAGTCATGCAGTTCTTGTCACTCCCACTGCTTTCTCTAGAGTCTCATCATCGTTCAATTAAAGACAACACATAATAATTAACAGCTGTACTTTTGGAAAGAAAAACATTCATATTCACAGACAAAATTATACATGTGTGGGCAGCCCATTGACATTGTGAACCCACACGAAAGCCGTTTGTAAAGATCTACTTCTCTTGTTGATCCACTGGTACATTTTCATCAACTTCATCTCAACGTTCTTTTCTTTTTCAAATCTGTCAAACTAAGTACAGAATGTGACTAAGAGATATGTCGCCCGTGATATCCACCTTGCGCCGTGTCGACAGGGTACAGTTTAAACTTCAAACACTTCACGTTTAAAAGAACCACGGGAAAGTAATTACTCCTGTTTGACTGGTGGACAAAAGAAGGAAAACATACGGAACCGAAAAGGAATAATCACAATGAGAAAGCTAAAGCAGCTGTCAAAGAAGAGCGCAGCAAATCCAATAAATGGGCAGTGGGCCGGAATGGAGAATGCCTCTCAGAGATGGTGTAATCCAGTGCCAGACAATGGGTAATTCAGGCCTGATGGGTGCTGCGAGACGCCCTTTTTTATGGGTGGTGTGGGTGGCAGGAAGTAGTACAGTAGACTGGAAAGCTCTGTGCCTGGGTCTTTAGTTGCAGGTCCACCAATCAGGCACCAGACTTTGGACTCAAGCGGCTAAGTACGCAATATCTGTTTCTTGGCCGTTTGCTCATTCGGTATGCAATGTTCTGTTTCGGCCATGGCGAGGATGCAGCAGTCTTTTCGATATGTGTCTCTGTGTTCTTTCTGTTTGGTGTTTGTCTGAAAGAAAGAAAGCTGCAATAGAGGAGAGAGGCGTGAGTTTGGTCTGAAGATGATCATGAGGGGGTTTCCATCAACCTTGTCCTCACTGTGCTGGCTTATGAAGCTCAGGTAGGTCTACATAGCGAGGTTTCCAAGAGCAAACAACAGACCGAGCATCAAAACATCAGATAGAGCTGGACTTGAATTTCTGGGGTCCTCTACTCTTGTGTTAGGTGGACTGCCAGGAACCTGTCAGGAAAAAAACAAACAAAATAATATGATATGGAACACCAGACATTGCGCAAACTGGTGAATATCATGAAAATAAGTCCAGGTCATGCTTTACAAAATCATACACAGAGAGAGATAAAAAATTGTAATGTCGTTTTAATGTAATATATTATTGCATTGCATTAATTGAATGCATTTGTGGGATAATAATAATCAGCATAATAATATATTTTATAATATTAAATGTATTTTTTGTACTTTTAACTGGCATTATTTTCATGATAGTATGTATAGTAGTTGACAAATGGTACCATAATGTTCTGAATATCTTGCATTACAGTAATATACATTATTATTATTATTATTGGACATGAAAATAATGTCACAATGCAAAGATATTTAATTTGTTTTTATCTTGTAACTGACATTATTTTTATGAAACTACATATAGTAGTATACAGTCGACAAATACTACCAAAATGTTTCTTAATATTTTCCTTTTTTTTTTTTACATTGTACATTATTTTCAAAAGTGCTTGTCATTTTGTTCTCATTACAATTACATTAATATAACTTTTCTTATATTACAGAAATACAAATTATTATTATTATTATTATTATTATTATTATTATTAATCATCATGAAAATAATGTCAAAATGCAAGATGAAAATATAAATAATGCAAAATTTCTTACATATTTCTCAGTTTTGGTGTAAAATACAACCTGGAAATGTTCTGGACAGGGTTTGTGAGGTTCACCTAAACCCTCTCAAGCTTTTGCAGTACAAGGTGAGCAAGTGACCATACAAGGGGTATGTGTGATTACAACACATTTACAATAAAGCCGTGCAGTGGTGCTTTGTCTCTGGACGCAATATTCATCATGCCTTTTCCCCACATGCACAAGCAGGAGATGCTTACAGATAATGCTTGAACTCACTGGCTTGGAAAGTTCATCTTTGCACTTCTTACCTCACTTTCGCAGATGTAGTCTTTTGATGGATAGCAATCAAGTGCCTGCAAGGAAATAAGGTTATCCTTGAGATATGGAATTAAGTATAATACGATGGTGTCTTGTTTGAGAGATCTACTCTGTAATGCATGTCTATCTTATCTATCATCTGACAATGAGTCTTATGTGAAGCGCTATCAGGCTCACTGATATGTCTCTTTCTTTTATAGATTTTTTTGGGGTCAGAACCTCCAGAATATAGCGGCCTAGTTCAATAATGTAACCAGTCTGAGAGAAGAGTTTCTAGACAGAAAGACGTTTTAAGATATTCCAAAATATAATTCCAAAACGTTTGAATTAGCCTCCAAAATGTGCATATTAAAACATGCAAATTCATTGTAATCCTCTAAATGTGTGAGAGTGTTAGTTTCTGCTCTGATGGGGCTCTTCCACAGATATGTAAAGGGTAATAAAGGGACCGATGAGGCTCTTGCAGCAGCATGATTTATCTGAACTACAGGAATATCAATCAAAATATGTCACTCAGTTTTTAAGCTTGCACTCAAAGAGATGTCATTTTGTGCAGAGCTGAAAAAAAAAAAGAGGGACATTTGTTGAAGCTAGCTGGTACTTGGATATTTGAATTTGAGAACCACATATTTATTGACTTTTTTTTTTTTGTTAATACGCTTGTTTTAACTTAACTTCATTTAATGTCAAACTGGTATATTGCAATTTTTGTGAAGGATAATTTTTTATAAATTATAAAATGGGCATACAAGTAGCCCCTACGATGAATGGTAAGTAAATAATGAATGTTTTAATTTTTACTTCACCCATAATGCACTGGGTTCGATCCAACTCTTTGTGAGCGGGCATACAATAATGTGAAAATACTGTTTGTACATTTCAGTTTTACTTTCAGGTATTAATGAGCGTATATTTATTTTATTATTTTCATTATAACTTTCCTTTTGTCTGTTATATATATATATATATATTTTTTTTTTGCAGATTTTTTCCTCACCATGTATGTTTCATTAAAAAAAAAACATTGAAAAAGCCCTGGAGCTTTCAAAAGATTGTATTTCTGCAGTTGTATTTATTATATATATATATATATATATATATATGAATACACATTGTTCATATGCAATGACATTGTAACAATACAAAGCTGGTTGAAAATCTGTGCTTTTAAACTTTGCCCTTTACCCTTTAAAAAACAGAAAAAAATGGAATCAGCTTTTCACTAAGACCCAGAATTGTACCATTTATATGTCCTGCAATTGTGGTAAAATTGTGGTAGATAAACTGCCAATAGTATAATACAGACAGACATCCATATAGCTTGTCCGTACATATTGTCCCATTCTATACATTTTGTTTTATTTTAAGCCACCGCTTTTGGCCAGGCCACCTTCTTTTAATTGGCTAAATTCTCATGAGGCCTCAAACTTCTGAAGGTCTTTACAAGGAGGTACAAATCATTCCATTCATATTGACTCATAACCATACATTTATTCCTGCATCGCACGCTGTACAATTCTGTTCCCCCAAACAAGGTCATCAAAGCTTGTTTGTCAAGACGTGGCTGCGGTATTGTTTATGACAAAGAAGGGTGGGATTGAACTAGTGCACTCGCACAGACGCAGACTCGCCCTAATCCAATAAATCTGTTTTCAATTATGTTAGAATAAAGACTGAGACCTTTCAGCCGGGCCTGGAGTACATCCACGCAGCCAGGTTGGCATTTGCAATAAGACCACTGAGGCTTAGAGGAGATGTAATCATCTCCAGACACCTTCAAGATAGGACAGAAGTATAGTGCGTGGACAATGCCAACGCCTGGTTTTGGTGCTGAATTGTTTGTAAAGATATCAAGAACACCTCTCAGCGTTTTATAATTAAAATCCCATTCTTGCGGCAACATCTTGCATCTGTTTGCCTCTCACAAAGCTGTTGGTTTAATCAGGTGCTGTAGTCCAGAAAACCCAAAGGCCACATGACACACACAATGGCTGGGAGGCAGAGACTGTATCCCATTGGGATTTAGTGCCTCAATTTGTGTGCTGCTCCCTTAGTCAGCCTTCTCTCCACACAATGCTATTTACCCGAGACTCAATCGATCTTAATCTCTCCTCCTCTGATTAAAAGGTAAAGCATGAAGGACTATTAGAATGAGTGATTTCAAGATGCTTTGAAGTAAGTGCATTATATGAGCTGTTAAAGTGTGTGTGGGATTTCACTGCAAACCCCTGTCTTATTTATGAACAAACTAGTTTAAGCAAGCACAAAATGTTGCATGATCGTTGTAATTAAGTCTTTTATTAAATTTGTTTTCCATGCATGCATACGTGGCTCCTTCTATGTAAATTAGCCACATTGTGCCATATTCTTAAACATTCTGTGCTATTTATATATTTAATTTGTGTATTCATCAAATGATGGTCATATGGAGTTATAACCACACATATTTACAGACGATTGGTATAGTTGAGTGCACATTTTCATTTTAAAAAGCCGATTCGAGTGGAGATCTAATGAATTTACTCAAAACACTGAGTCCTTTATGTCATCAATCAAAATGTTCACTCAAAGCATGTATTAAAATGTCTTAATAAAAATATATGTAGGCAAATATCGCTGTTGCTGTATGTTTTGCTGTATTTTGTATGTATTGTTAGATTGCTTTATGTTAGCAATCTTCCTTGATTTAATTTGTGAAAAGTGTGGAAAATTTATATATTTAAAATTATTTTATTTTTTACATTTATTTTTTAAATATTATTTTATATTAACATTCTAATCTGGTGAAAAACATTTATTTATCTATTTATTTATTTATTACTTTTTATGTCATTAGTTTATTTGTAATTTAAAATAAATAAATAACTCAAAAAGTGTGGGAAAATGTTTTGATTTATTTCATCATTCAAATTTTGCAAACAACTGTGGAAAACATTGACTTATTTTATTTCATTTGATTTTTAGTTTAGTTTAAATTTTTCCCCCAAAAAATGTATCTATCTATCGGACACTATGAGTTATGTCGTGACTCGACATTAGGGGATTTGATTGGGTCTCCCAAGTAAATCCCCTAATGTTCAGTCACAACATTATGTCTCCGTTCCCTCCATCAGGGAACGTCTTGGTTACGTACGTATGTACGTCGGTTACGTACGTAAAATTTTTTATTTTATTTTAGTTTAGCTTATAGCACTTAGAAGTGGCTTACTGTGCTAATTGAGTTCAGCATAGATGTGTTTTTGCACCATTGCCTGATTTGCATGATTATTTTAGTGAATCGGGTGCTAAAACTACTCTTGCAAATAAACTACACTATCAGCAGGTGCGATTCAATTTTAGTAAATTTACCCCATTATCTTCCTGTTCATGCCCATAACCGCAAATGCACTATTTACTTAATAGTGAGTTCAAGTGAAGGAAATACTACTACAGTTACCAATATCTAATTATTTATCAGTGTTTGTGTATAGTATGTCTCTTTATTTTGTTTTATGTGTCATTTTACCTGATCTATGAATGTAGTGATTGTGTTGAATTAGCGTTAGCTCATGCAGTGAACTTTCAGCATCTCCTGTGTAAACATGCATAATTAGATGCAGGCTTAGGCAAAAGCCATAACTGCCAGAACTGCAGCTGGCAAAGAGAGCGAGCAAAAGAGAGAGAGAGACAGACAGAGCGAGAGACGGAGGAAGGGCCCGAAATTGTGTGTTGACAGGCGGGGATGTTGGTGGGGTGGGGGTGAGAGAAACAGAGGACAGTGACTAAAAGCCAATTAATTAGCGAGAGCGGTGATGTGTGTCAGCTGCCTGTTGACATCAGCCCAGATTTCTGTTCACAGCTCTGCTAATGCCGTCCTCTCTCCCCGTCGCTTCTCAACATCTCCCTCCATTTCTCTTCCACTCATTCACATCTCAGCTCTTTGCTTTAGAACTCTCACACATGTTCTGATTGTTTACACAGAAATGCAGAGAAAGACACTGATGTGTAGCCTTGCACCACTACATACAACCTTGCTCAAACAAACTAACACACATACTCGCAAAATCATTCCTCCTGGTACACAGCTCTTTCACAGGCCTTTGTGAGAGCAAACCATGCTTCGTATCAACCTTATTTTTAACGTAAGACTGGGCATGGCTATTTCTAACTTGAATGTGTGAATTATAATGAATGATTTGGCAAAATGAGATGTAGCTTTGAATTCAGATGTAGTTATTTGGATTTACTGTTCACAACAGAATTCTTGTTTTTGTTTGCTTTGTTTAGGCAACCTGCGTATTATGAGTTCTTGTTCTTGCCCAGAAGAGAACCATACCACCAATCCAAACTGTATGCTAATTGTCAATCATATTTGACGATAGTGGTCCTGACAGAACTGCCAATTTTGGTCACCTTGTGATACGGTCATAGGAAATTAACTGGTGTACAACACTGGGAAAATACATTTATGTGAATCACTTCAAACTATTTGTTTCAAATTGATTCAAATTTGTAGATTCCTCTGTTGTCAGCCCATTTTTTTTTACAAAATTTTGGCAAAAAAAAAAAAGAAGGTAAATATTGCTGTTTAAACCACAAGGCTGTTGAATGATTGATTCTGATTGGTTGGCGAACATTCTAAGATGTGATATTATGGTTACACTTTCTTTCAGTAGTCCACTTTAAATATGCATAGATATGTATAGATAGATCACCATTCAACCGCTCCAGGCACGTCAACGTGCCCGTCATCTTGGAATGGTCGATGTGTCGTTACGGTAAAAATTACTGGCATTTCCAAGATGCCACACTATGTGCAGCCACTGGTTTTAAAAACCGCAGAGATTGAAATTCCTGAAGGAATGGGTAAAACATTTGGCAGGTGAGAGTGTGTTGGCTTGTGTTTTATATGTATTAACTTCTTGTATTGACAACTTCGTCTTGTTGTATTGTGGTGGTTTAGCAAAATCATCTGCTGAAGTCCATTGCATATATAACTATTCATACATGCTATAATCATTGTTGCAGATGAACAGTCAACTTGCATTTGAGTGTTCATGGCCTGGCTTTGACAGTTTCACCCATAGGAAAGACAAATCAAAAGTGAGATCTCTTTAACATCTCAAATATTTCTCCTAGACAGAAATGAGTTAAATTTAAACATTTAAACTAGTAACCCTTGATATTCTGAAATGTTTAATGCTATTTAAATGATAGTTTTAGTATTTATGTTTACAATATTAGTAAAAGTTTAACTTTCTCCTAAAATAAAACTGAAGACATCTTAAGACAAAGCTGATATCTCAATGAGACATATAAGAGAATTACTCCTTAGTATTCTGAGCATAGAGTAAGACACTGTTGAGACTAAAATGAGAAATACATGAGAATCACAACTAAGTCTCCTGAGGTTAGAAAGAGCAACCACTGAGCAATAAAATATTCCTACAATGGAGTCTTGATAGAGATTGCAGCAAGACAATAAAGAGACATTATATGTTTCTTCCACCACATTCTCTGTTTTGACACTTTTTTTTCTCAAACATGTCTTATGTCTCATTTGTGTCTACTTCCATTTCTCCTAAGGAATTTTAGGAGAAACATCTGAAATGCTGTTGATACTAAAATGAGAGATATATGAGAATCTCATCTAAGTCTCCTGACCTTAGGAAAAGCAACCACTGAGCAATATTGTTGTCCTAAGGGCAGCATGGCTTATAGAGGCCTATAGAAACAGCCATTAATGAGGCATCTATGTATATATGTCTATGACTTTATACATTCTACATTACTAACTATAAGTAACTTTGAATCTACATGTCAACTAACTCTCATTAGAATATTAGTAAACTGTTAGGTTATGGTTAGGGTTAATAAGTTGATGTGTACTTGTAAAGTTATAGGCATCAAAATAAAGTGTTAAGCAGATAGTCTGCTAATACTCTAATGACTGCTAGTTGATATGTAGTTGCTAAGTTACTTAAAGTTAGCATAACGTCTAAAGTGAACTATTGAAATAAAGTGTTACCGCTATTATTTTCCAGGAAATCCATAGCTATGAAGTAGGTCCATCTCTGTCGACCACATTACAGTTTCATATCAATAAGCCAAATTATCTCAGTTATTTCAAATGTTCTACAAAGACATCTATCAAGCAAATAAATATGACTTGCAATAGGATAAAAATGTCATTTTCTATGTTTTCCCAATTAAATTACATTTTATTATCTATTATTAATATAATATAATTTAATTTAATTTAATTTTTGCAGCAGGAACAGTATGAATAACTAGATGAATATCAGATAATTCATACCAATGGAGCACTGGAAATGATTTATAGCTTTGAGTGAATAGAATCATTGCCTCAGTTGTGCCCATGAGCAAGTCTTGTCACATCTACATGTAGATTCTGTGAAGAAACATCCTTCCTGCCTCAGGCACACTTTAAGTGCTATTGGACCTGCTAGATCGAGCAAAGCGCCCCCTTTGAATTTCACCTCCAAAAATCACTGTGATGCCGAACCCTGCCTCGAATTAAAACACGGTAAACAGAGCGAGACTTTGCCCATGTTCTCTCTACCTGTCAGAATGAGAAAAATGGCCCATGGCAAACTATTTATCTTTCATTTGAGTGGGACCAGAAGAAAAATATGAGTTTCAGCAATGGGGTGAATCTGTGATGCGCATCTGACATTGTTTCTGAATTGCTAGAGAATGGTGAAGTTTGACAATGTTTCCCCTCAGGCAGTCTCTAATTATAATCTTCCTGCTTGGGTAATGCACTGATTATCATTTTTACAATAAATTAAGCATCGCTTTACTGGCTCAGCACGTACAGATACACACACACACATACACACACATGCAGTGTAAATAGTGACATGCAGTTTTGTGGCTCCTCTGGGAAATTGTGAGGACACATTTTTCTGTCTGGTCTATTTGTGCTGTTTTCAGGGGTACATTCATCAATCATTTTACATTTTCAACTTTAATATGTTAATTATGAGCCCGTCGACATCTCTGGAGAGTATTCTGCACTCAGGTGAAAAACTCTGCAAAGCAGTGTGTGTGTGTGTGTGTGTGTGCGCGCAATTAACCAAACAAAGGTACAAATGTCAACTAATTTATTGCTTGTCGTTTGTTTATTCTACAACTGTTCATAGCTTGACTATTGTCAACTAGTCCAATCAAATGTTAATTAAATGCAAAGTGGCAGTTAGCATACAATATTCCTATGTGTAAATATGTTGCCATGTTTTTTTACTACAATATGTATAACTAAAATAAATTAGTAATGTGTGTAATTGATGCTCAGTAAATGCAGCTTTGTTAGTGGTGAGATCTAAATATTTACAACGCAACGTTCAGTATTTTAATTCATTCACACAGCTGCTTCTTTTATTTTCTGCATCGGTGACTTACTAAGACACCTCCATTTCTTTCTAAGCTTATCCTTGTGGAAAAAAAGTACACTTTTTATATATAGAATTTAAAATAGAACATATTGTAATGTTTTCAACACTCACTTGCATGTTAATTGCAATTAAATGAAAATGTATCATCGTTTACATTTATTTTAAATGCAGTAGCTGAACTTTAGAGTGCTTAAGAAGAACTTAGGTACAGGTACATAATTTCATTATTAATTATATAGTCTTTAGTACAAATGCGCCTTCAAAACAATTAAGGGCACGTCTTTTTCATCATGGTATTACTGACTCAGATCCACATCATCATTAAAATTTACGATGTAATATACAACACTAAAACGTTCTAAAACTTACGTTCAAATTTGCACAGGACGAAATGATGCAGGGCTCCTCCCCAGGTTCCATAGTTGTTTTAGGGATGTTGACAGTGGGCTCAAGGTCAGGTTTCACTGAGCCTGTAGTAGGCTGAGGATCAGGCTTGGGTAGCGACCCATAGCCGAAGGCCTGGATAGCATTTCCTGTTGGAAAAGAAAAGGAAAAACACATTGATTCAAAGCACATTTTCAAAAGAGAATGTTTCCGCAGGAAGTCAGAAAGTCAGAGAGACTTTAACTCGCCAGATCCCTTGAGGAGAAAAGTAATGTGTGTCGTCTTCTCCAAGTTTGTTAGGAATGAGGCATAGTTAACTGTATTTGGGGGGTCAGCAGTTCAGCTAAATGCTAATTCTGCAACGCTTGCCGATTTTGAATCAGTTAATTGCTAGAAAAACAAAGCAAGACATATTCTCTCACCACACACACACACACACACACTCACGCACTCACACACTCACACACACACACACACACACACACACATGCACAATCACACACACATGCACACACACTCTCACACACACACTCACGCACTTGCACACTCACACACACACACACACACACACACTCACACACACACG